CATCAAGCTCTTTCCTCCCACCCAAGAGCAAAGAGAGCACAACACAAGACACTGTAAAGAAAACAATGCCCCAAAATAATATGAAGCGTGAGTTGGGAATCTTAATTCTGTTTCTTTAGAAAAGATCCTTGGGAATCCAAGATGACAAAGAGGTGTCTCCCGCAAGACTCAACATTTTGCTTCCCCAGCTCCCTTCCTTCTTCTGACCCACACGCTGCTTACGAAGAGGAAATTACCAGCTGAGTGGAGGCTCAGGGCCCTGCCCCACTTCGTAGCTTCCCCTCCTCCTCTTCCCGGCAGGGAAGCCTGGAGAACTCCGAGTCAACTTCTCACGCAGAGCCGTGTACAACCTCCTCCGAAACCTCAGCGGCCAAGAGAAGAAGGCTCTCAGTGCTCGGTCGTTTTCAGAACAGACCCCCCTCCCCACTTGTGGCGAGGTGGTGGTGGAAGAAAAAAGATACCCCACCATGGAAGGGGGTTATCTATGCATTCAAGTGTCACATCAGAGACTGGAAGCTGTTTCCAGTGGGCGTTCCGAAAAAAGTCAGGGAGAGAGACTCCGGGAAGAAGCTTCCTCCTCTAAGGGAGCCAATAAACGAGGCCGGCTCTTGCCCCTCTAAGCTGGCTTACGCTTCCGGAGCAGTTGCAGGAATGACCTTAGGACTCGAGAGAGAGAGAGAGAGGAGGAGAAGAAGTGATTGCTAAAAGAGGCTGGATTCACAAAGAAGAGAGGGCCCTGAAGAGGTGCACAGTAATGCAGAAAGGAAAGGTAAACCGGGCGCAGAATGGATCCTGTATGCGCTCCAGAAGCAGGGGAGAAAAACTATCAGGACACTTGAAACCAAGATTTAGCAGGCAGCACTGAACAATGAAGGGTCCCTTCTAAATTGATAACTGACCACGCTGGAGAAGACTACTGAAATGATCATTTGGAACAAAGATTACAACTTTCTAGTTTAAGGAAAAAATAGTAACAAGGGATGTGTTGGAGACAAAGTTATGCCACAATGAAAAACAAGATCAGGCAGCCTAACATTTTGGGACTGCACTTGCATTTTTTTTCTTTGTCAGTTTAAAACTTGGGGCTCCATTTTTTTTTTTTAATTGTCAGTGGCCAAGGACCAGTGCCCTGAAATGTAAGCGTTCTGCAAACAGGCAGGCTTGGGTTTTTCAGGATGTGTGTGTACCCATTTGGAAGGCTTTTTAGGAATGTTAAGTAAATCCATGGCATTTGAAAAAAGGGGAGTAAACATGCTTCTGCAAGTTGCTGAATTTTGGGAGCACGATCCCCAGTAGCCTCAAAATAAGACATCTGGAAGATGCATGGCTTGCTGGTTGTCCACCCTGATCTAGGGATCTCGTTATGTACCGTGAGATCTGAATGCTGACTTTCGGCTCATCCTCTGGAACTCACCTGATGTTCTTACCAAAGCCACCAAGGCAAAGGCCTTACGTCCTCAGTAACAGACTTCTCAGTGAACGTGCTCTGCATCTTCTACTTCAGTGTTTCCTAACCTTAAAACTTGTTTAAGATGTGTGGACTTCAACTCCCAGAAGACCGACAACCCACATCCTATGTCCCCACAGTAAACAACCAGATGACTCAGAAAACCTCACAAACAGGCTGTGATGGAGACAGCCCTCTCTGTGATTTGATATAAGGTAAAGCAGTGTTTCTCAACCTTGGCAACTTTAAGATGTGTGGACTTCAACTCCCAGAATGCTGGCTGGGGAATTCTGGGGGTTGAAGGCCACACATCTTTAAGTTGCCAAGGTTGAGAAACACTGCTGTAAAGAGACAGACTACCATAAAACATTACTACTTCCAAACTACACTAACACAACAGCCCCCTAAAATTAAGCTAAACATATAATAGTATAATATTCAGTTCCTTGCAGTGACTAATTGATGTCTTTGAGAAGCCAAGAAGCAGGGCATGAGGGCAATTCCCCTCTTGGAGATCCTGGAATTAAATGCCATTCTGATTATGCAACCAAATATGGAACATCTGCTGCCTGAGTTTCCACAAAATTGCTGCTCACACATAGCTGTTTTTATATCAGACAGCTCCTAGTGGTAAAACGAGGGGGAAAGTTTTAGAAGGGAAAACAGAATTTGGAAATTACTCATTACTTTGAGGGAATATTTCTTACGATATAAACAGCTGCAACAAACACAGATCACTTTTATGCCGTTTGTTTTGAAAGACTAGATCCAGATTTAATTACAGGTTGCAATTTCTTTGTGAAACACTAGTAGAAAAAAGTTGGAGGTGTTTTCAAGGACTTTCTGATTAAGGAAGTTAAAGACCTGTTTTTCATTTGGGACTCTCAGCTAGTAGTTTACCACGAACTTCCATATTAAAAGTTTCTTGCCTGCTCTGCCTGCAACCCTTTGCGGAAGATTTCCGGTTCTCTGTTGCAGGGGTGCAGCCTGAGCCCACCCCACCCTTTCCATGTTTTTAAAAAGATTTTAATTATACAGACCCAGCGTAGCAGGGAGGGAGGAGTTGGCTCCTGTTTGTACAGAACCTGGGGTCAGGAAGATCCCAGAATCCCTCTCAGTCTGCAGGAGAGAGCCTCATCAGGCTGAGGATTGTGTAAGTTATGTTGCTGCAAGGAAAGACCTTAAGCAGCTATTGTCGCTCCTGAGTAGACTTGCCTGGTGGATAGCTCAGCTGTGTGGAAAGTGAAGGGCTAGAGCTTCTGGAATAAAAGTTGCAATCGGAAAGCAAGCTGATGATGGAAATGTCTATCTGGCTTAGACCCCTGCTTTGGACTCAGATACATTTGTCGCATAAAGACCTGGATGTTACTTCAACCAGCTCTTTCCTTGTGCCCTTTAGTGACTGGAATGCCAATTGCTGGGTTATTGCCAACTCATGTTTTTCTTCAGTTTGGTTGCTGGTAATTTGTTTCAAAATGGCTTAGATTCAGAATGGCTTAGATTCACTTTCCCTACATTAGGGTTAGTTAAACTCTGACAACCAGTAGATGGCAGCAAAAAGGTAGAAAACATTGTAACATCTGCTGCCATCTAGTGGTTATCCTTATTTTTGTATCCCAGATATCAAGGCCCTAGTTATGTGGAAGCCTTTTCTTTGGCAGAAGTATGGTAGGACATGGCATCTTCTGCCAAAGGAGTCTGGTAAACAGTCCAGTCTATAATATTTTTGATGCAATGCGCTGGCAGCCTTTATATAAGACCTCCACCTCAAGGATACCAGCTGGAAATTGTTCTGGGGGGCAGTAGCAGAAACAATTCTTTGCTATAAACGTTCTATGTTTTGTTTGTTTGCTCATTTTAAAACTGTTATTTTGCAAGCTATTTTGCAGGCAACACAAGAACCAGATATATTATCACTTAAACTGGGAAGTTCCAAAAATAATTGTAGAACGCACATCGGATAAAAGTGTCAGAGTAAGCTTGGAATTTGTTTTAACACAGCAGTTTAATTCACATTAAAAATGAAAGCCTATATCTATTCCATTCCATGGAAATTAGCCCCATTCAGTCAATGGGTCTTAATGCTAAATAGACATATCCACACAAGCTGCAACCCTAATATATTCTAAAGCTTTCCAATGAAAGTTCATGAGAAAATTTTGTTAGTTTTTAAGAGGCCACAAAGTTCTGTTACTGCTGTTATTAGAATCATTATCATCTTAATCCAACATCCACTTCAAATAGTTTAGCTTGTTCAGAGATCCCTGTATAGCAAGTAGCATTAAAGATGGCACCTAATTTCATTCATTCACTGCAGCAGAAGAAAATCAACAATCACTGAAACACTTCATTCAGATATTAAAAAACATGGCTTTATGACTATATATTATATAACGAAATGGATACAGATTTCTTTAGAAAGCTGGTCAAATAGTGCTAAGAGATGGAACTCTGCCCATATGACCCAATTCAAGCCATGTGCATATGGCAGGATCAAGCCCCCTTTTCGTCTGCAATACAAGGGGTAGTAGTACCTGCTCACTTTCCAAGGCTCTTGTACTTTCAGCAAAATAGGAAGTACTCTGAGTATTCCCTATGTGTAATTATTCATTCATTAGACTTAATAAACCACCAACTACTAAAGCTAACGAGTAGAAGCGGGACTTCAACTGTTAACAGGCACCCATTTACATCACTACTATCTTTTTTGCCAAGCTGTCATCTGTGAATTGATTTTAATGTATTCATTTTAATGTCATGTATTTTTAACTGTTGCAAGCTGCCTTGAATGCTTGTATAAGCAGAAAAGTGGGGGACAGCTTTAACAAATAGTAATAATAGTGCCACCAGCAGAAGCAGCAGACTGGAGAAGCTCCTTACTTGATCATCTGTAATGAGTTAAGAACAGTCCTAGGATAATCACAACCCTTTGAATTACCTGTCTCCCCTAAACTTGGATACATATCCTATGCTCCTGCCCCAGCAATTACAAATAGTACAGTATCTTGATTGTCCTCTGGATTTATGCACTGTTAAAATGCTACCATCAACAGATTCGGGAAAGAGATTGGCCTGACTTAAATCCTGGAGTGACTGGCAGTTTCAGTTTCCTTCTTGGTTCTGGTCTATTCCCCTTCCCATACACACCTTTGCAACTGTGCAGTATCTCCTGTGTAGAATTTCCCATTAATAACAATGATGAACTTATGTTTAGTATGTTAGTTTTTTTTAATTTAACTATCGGAATAAAAAAAAAATCAACAGTGTGACCTGGAAGCGGCCCATCTCTGCCAGCATCTTCCCTTTGGAAAGACATCCCCCCAGAGATTCATAAGGTCCCTACCCTGACCTTATTTAAATAAGCCCTTAAAACCTGGCTCTTCCCCAGCCTTGGGTTAGAGTGGATGGTGGACCCCATGGGATATTTGATTTGTGAGATGTTATTTTTTCCTGGATGTTTCTCTTTATATTGTTTGGATTGTATGTTTTAAATGCTTACATCATATGGCACCCAGAATTGTGATGGATTTGGGAGGTATATAAAGTTAATAATAAATAATAAATGAAAGGGAGTTAGGCAATATCAATTTCATCAATATTAATATTACGGTTTGGACAGTGATCCAGCAATATGTTCATCTAAAAACTAGATTCCAAGAGACAAAAAGGGAAGCCTGTGTGATTTTCACATGATGTTGGCAAGTTTTACTGGCCATTCTGGGAAGCAAAAGGGCTGGAGAAGTTGGGCTCTCCATCTGATTTAGCAAAGCAGTTCTTAGGATTTAGCAAGGCTGTTCTTGAGATATGGCATGTGTGCAGAAGAAGAGGCAACGTTCCTTATATCTAAACTTTCTGTTTAGGAACCTTTTCTTCCTATATATGCCTTACTGTTCTGGTATATTGTAGTGTTAGTGCGATTTTATTATTGATTATAGCTATCTATTTCCTGCCTTCCAGGATAACAAATCTCCCAAATCAGCTTATGAGTTAGACATCTGTAAATAAAAGCACATTTTAAAAAGAAACAAACTTTGAGGATCCTTCCCCACAGGATAATTAGGGGCAATTATCTTTGGGGTAAAGAAGGAGAATCTAACTGAGCG